ACATCAGATCATTGACTGGTCGGGATTACGGCTCATCTCAATTGTTTGGTTTGAGCCATTTTGCCAGTTTCAGCACATTTCGCCGCGTTTGGATCGCAGATTCAGACTTCAAGGTCGTACTCGACCAGACAGATTTTGGGCATACGGTTGGCGAGGTTGAGCTCGAGGCTCAAGTGGATGTGCAAGATGGAGATGAAGTCCAGATGGTGACGAGGGCAATGGATAAGAGAATCGCCGCATTCTTACAGCACTACGTGTGGGTATTTTCGTCCGAACCTCCTGTCGGAAAGCTGTCTGCCTATTTTGCACATCGATCTCTGGAGAGGGTCTAAATTTCTTCTTAGGTGTCGGCATACAAGCGTTAACGGAAGGGAATGTGTTCCATCTTTGAATAGAGGTGACCCTGAGGTCATCGCAAGAGGAATATTTTCTGCCTCCTTTGAGCATCCGGGACAATCTCCCCCCGCAGCCAGACAAACTGTGATGAGTTCCCAAAATGGCTGTTGGATTGGAAGACAACGTGGCGCATCATATGGGGTCCGAACATCCACCGCACTTGTGGTGGATCCGTAGACGTGTTGGAGCATGTCATCGGGTTTGCCGTCGAGCCGGCAATTTCGCAAAATTTCTCTCCAGGGCTGTCCTTGAGTGGCACATAGTCTATGGAGCGTGGACACGGAGCTACCCTGGCTAGGTTTGCAGAAGCTTAAAGTTGCAATACGGCCTATCCCGTCCACTGCCCACTCAACTGCCACAACCTAACATCGCGAGGAAATCTCAATGCAGTCTACAGCGTCAGGCATCGAGATCTCTTGACGAATGCCGGCGACCGGAAATCCTGTCAAGTACTGGCAAGAAGCCAATCGAAAGTGGATAGGTGAACGTGAACGCTGCGCAGGGCCAGCTGAATCTTCGAACTGTTATTCGGGCAATCGACAAGACCACGCAAGCATCCGAGGTCGATGGTGGACGACTGCCGTGCGACCTTATCAACCTTCGACCACAATCCCCCAGTGCTTTCGTCGAGGAATCCTGTCGCCTCGCTTCGAGCGGCCAGTTGAAGGGTGGCCATCGAGTTCATCGACTCGAGCGGCAGAAGTGCCTCAGAGATGCATTCAATCGATACTGGGACCAGCGACCCTTGACCCCTGTCGATAAGGACGTGCTGATAGGTCTGTACACGTCGCAAGCTGTGATTCGCGATGGTAGCTCACGCCCACAGGAACTTCCATGGATTTGGCCACGTCGTCGATCTGATTGAACCGAAACAGCTCGGCCTTGAGCCGCAGCTTTTCACCTCCAAAAGTGCATCGCGACGCTACTCGCTTGAGACGGGAAGGATTCCAAGCAGAATCACTGCGAAACAAGACGGCTACTTGCGTGCACTGTGGAGACCCATACTTTGAAGGGAGACTCTTCTGTTCCGGAGACTGCGCTAAAATGCCGTTCGGCATTTTAGCGCCATTCCCTAACGGCTCATTGGCTGGGTTATGACAACATACTTCAGGACCTGTCACAACAAAATATATAAGGAAAATGTCTTTCAAAGCCGTTATCGTTGACACTCTCATTTAGTCGTCCCATGTACATTCAGCATTTGACAGGCACTCTTGTCTTGGAGCTAAATTGACACCATGGAGGCCAAACCCTCCTCCAACGCTGCTGGAACTTCCATTTACGACGATTCAGATGTAGAGAATCTGTCCTTCACATCTGGAACAACGGATATGCGTGACGAGGTCGGCTATTGGTTTGGTCGGAAATACTTCGAGTGTGTCATCTCGCAGCAAGTCCTTCAAGATTGCGGTCCCTACGACACGCCCTCTAAAGTGGATGTTCGTTCCCTTCCAATGATATTCGCTGTTCGGTGCCTAACCGGTTGCCCAGTCCCGACTTTTCCGCCACATGCAAGATTTCCCATATGACACGTGTCTCTCGTCACTCGCTGAGTATCACCCAATTGAGCGGTCGAATCGTTTTGAGGTGTCAGCAAGGGATCCCCGCACAAGGTTACTGGTCCTGGTAGGTTGGATCATCCACGAAGGGTCTGCGCGCGCGAAGCAGCAGATGTTGCAGACCGTGAGATCCTTTTATC